AAAGTTTAGGATGCAAGTCTTTCCACAAAGGCTGAATGGACTTTTTCATTGGCAAATGTCATTTCCTTAAAGCCCTGATGATTGTGCACAAAGCTGGCAATTATTTCTGAGAGCCACTGCTCTCCCAACACAGCAAAAACGTGGGGTTGGAGTGTCACATTTTTATGAAAGCTGTTCTGGGAAATTTGGCAAAGGCAGCTACAACCTCATCTCCCATCAACAATGCTTACTGCTTTGCCCCACTGTTGTTGTGGAGCATTTTCTTTTCCCAAATGTAGGTCAAAGGTATAATTATACAGCACCTTCTGTAAGCATATGAGTTCCAAAGAACCACTGGATGAACTCATTCATTTAATGTGAATACGGAATATGTTAATCGCGAGCAGGAAGTCAGTGACTCTTTTGTAGCAAAGAAAAGTGAGCATCAGTGAAGGTCCTTTGCAAAGCACAGATCTGAATGTCAGGACACTTCACTAGAATCTACTGTTCTGTCTAGCTAGAAATAAAGAGAGGTCTGAGCATACTCCCAATCCTCAGTTTATCAGAGAGTAAAATGTCTGATAACAACACCTCAACCTTCTTCTCCCTCCCTCCTTCCCTACTTCCTTCATCTCTCTCATTTTTTCTTTTCTATTTTTTTGTGCTGTTGAGGATTGAACCCAAGGCCTTGTACATGCTAGGCAAGTGCTCTTCTGCCAATATACATCCCAGACCCTTAGGTCATTTTTTTCAAAGTGCCCCCATCTTTGCAACCTGAATCAAAGCTGCATACACACCACGTCACTTTTACTTGTGTAGACTCGGTCTGCAAGGCTCTCTATGGCAATCCACTTCACAGGCATCTTAGCAATGCGGCCTTGGCGGTAGTAATCACCACTGTAAATCTTCTTAGAGAGGCCAAAATCTGCCACACAGACAGTCATGTCATCTCGCAACCTGCAGGGAGAGAGTTCATGACCTCAGCAACCTTGGAAGAAGAGCCTTTAATCACAGATCTATATCTGATATGGCCGAAAACATTCACAATAAGTGACCAAAGAAGACCTGGAGCCCATCAGCCTGTGGGGTATCTGCTTTGGCCCCAAAGGCAGACAAGTGATGGGGGAATAGAAGAGTTACTGTATTGCATCACTGTGGTCTGTGTGAGGAGTAGCCCAGCAAGAGCACCTGGGCACAGAGGCTAGAAATGCTGGAGGGGAGAGATGTGGGATGGCAGGAGCAGAAAGAACAGCACCATGTCCTAGGCCCTTGGGTAGACTGGTCTAGTGCCCAGTGGCCAACCTGCTTGGTGTCTGAAAGCAGCACTGGCCCTACGCACTAAGCAAGTCCCCCTGGAGGTAAGGAGGTGAGATGTAAGAGGTGGTGAGGTCTAGGGAAAGTGAAAAGGTTTACACTATTAGAGGCAGATGCTGGACTTTTTGCTAAGATGGTCAGGTGAGTGCTTAAGGAATAAATTGGAAAATTAAAGAACAACTGCATTTATAGCCAACCTATTAAAGCAGGTCCTAGCAAGAAGAAAGAAGAGAAGAAGTGGAGGGAGGAGGAGGGGGAAGAGAAAGGAGAGAGACAAAGGAGGAGGTAGATGACCAACTTCTCCCTGTTTGCCTGACATGGACTTTTAAAACTGGAAGTCCCACACACTGGGAATTCTCTCAATTCAGGGGAAACTGAACAGTTGGTCACACTACCCAATGGAGAACAAAAGGTTTTCATAACATGGCACAAAAAGTATTTAAATAAGAAAAATAACAAGACCAAATTCACTTTGGGATTTTCAAAGATGAGGTGAAAGTGAAGGGGAGTGGGGGAGGGGTCAGGAGGAGTGAGTGGCAGGTTCCATTGCCACATCGCTGACCAACAAAAACAAGTGACAATACACCCAAGGACCACTCCCTCTTCTCACAACTGTAAACTTAAAATCCAGTAATAGTTATTGTGTTTGAAGATTTACAGCAGGCAATGGTTCTGCTGAAGGAGGTGAAGTCAAGTCCAAAGTCCTTGTATAATGAGACTGTGTCTGCTGTGAAAGGAAAGCTTCCATGTATTCAAGGTACAAAACTTCTTCACAGGGAAGTGTTAGGGAAATGTTAAAGTCATTATTTGTCATTGTCATTGCATCATGTGAATCATAATTAAGATTAGCTCACTTAACGTAACTCTGGGACCAAAGCTAGCTGATGGCATCGGGAAGGATCACAAAGACCATACCTAGTACATCTAGCTGAGTGAGAGGATGAAAATAAAAAATTAATCATTGGAGAGAGCTCTGGAGGCCAACCACTCTTGGAGGCAAAAATCCAGTCAGAATCAGGGCCATAGAAATCCCCTCACAAACACCAAATGCAGTGAGTCCAGCACCCTCCAGGATGGCCAGGAGCTTACATGCAGTTTCGAGCAGCTAAATCCCGATGAAGAAAATTCCTGTTGCTCAGATATTCCATTCCCAGGGCAATGTCCACCATGAACTTCAGCAGGGTCTGCAGAGGAATATGCTAGGGAGTGGAGGGGACGAGAAGAAAGTCTTTTAGAGGGAAAACTTGGCAAGTCATTTCCACCCAAGGGGGGAATGATGTTCTCATTCTTATTCATTAAAAGGTGTGTTGGTGTCAAAAAGAATTAACCTAGAAGGTAACACCCACGCACAGGAAATCAATGTGAGTCAACTCCCTGTATAGCTATCCTTATCTCAACCAGCAAAAACCCTTGGTCCTTCCTATTATTGCTTATACTCTCTCTACAACAAAATTAGAGATAAGGGCAAAATAGTTTCTGCTGGGTATTGAGGGGGTGGGGGGGAGAGGGAGGGGGTGGAGTGGGTGGTAAGGGAGGGGGTGGGGGCAGGGGGGAGAGATGACCCAAGCCTTGTATGCACATATGAATAATAAAATTAAAAAAAAAAGGGCATTCATCAAAAAAAAAAAAAAGGTGTGTTGGTGAAACAAGGACACAGTCTTTCATTTCATTAGCACAGATTTTTTTTTTTTTTTGAGATAGGGTCTTGCTATATAGCTCAGACTGGTCTTCACCTTGCGATCCCCCTATCCCCCTGCCTCAACCTCTGTAGGACTGGAATTACAAGTGTGTCACCCTCATGCACAAATAATATTTTAAAAGGAAATAACAAAAGAAACCCCTTCAAACTGCTAGGAAATACCACATTCTCTTCTCCTCGTGTTTACAAGTATTTTCAGTGAATAACATTCTGCATCTTTTCACAACGGATAAGGGAAAAGGTGATCCTCCCTGAGAGAGAGTGGAACAGAATGCTCATGCCAGGCAGAGGAAAGGCAGGAAGGGACTGTCTAGCCTCAGGGAGACAGGGGTGTGTGTGTTGCGGGGAGGAACTCTAATGTGTTGGAGGCAAAAGGCCCATTCAATAGGAGCTGTTTCCAATTGCATACTCGTATCTGCTATCATTTTTTTAACCTTGCATGTGTGTGTGTGTGTGTGTGTGTGTGTGAGATACTGGGATTGAAACCCAGGGCCTCACATGTTAGGCCACTTTTTTTTTTTTTAATCACTAAGCTACACCCCTTGCCTTTCTGCTACCATGTTAGTTTAAAATGTTTTGAAAGGTATTTTTCTCCTTCTTTCTTTCCATCTCCCTCCTTTTTTTTTTTTTCTTTTTGAAACAGGGTCTTGCTATGCAGTCCAGGCTGGCTTTGAACTCTACATCCTCCTGCCTCCATCTCACCAATGCTGGGATTACATGTGTGTGCCATCATGAAAGATATAATTAGACTAATCTTTACCCTTTACCTTCTGACCAAAGTACAAGTAATGCATTCAGGAATTGTCATTTTGTTTCTCTAGGGCCCTCCTGAAAGTTTCAACAGTCTAGTCTTTTCTCTATGTCGCAAAATCAGACTAGATTGCTATGTTAGGAAATCTGGCTCTATTAGAATTGGTTCTGAGGATAATGACTAATGAAGATCTCCAAGTAATAATTAAGGGCTTTAATACAGTCACAGCCCCACAGAAAGGGCTCACCACAAATTCCTGCCACAAGCGCATCCATGGTATAGTTGCCACAGGCATCAGATTTGTCATGGCTCATTCTCCACAGAACATAAGTTTTCCAGAATGTTACTCACAAAGGCACTATACTTTCAATGACTTACATTTCCTAACCATGACAATTACATGCTGCACACAAAGACAAAATGACTTAATTATCTTTACCCTGAAGTAATGCAGTTATTAAAAAACATAATCAAATCAGGCATCAAAGTTTTATGCCTCTGCTCTGATATTTGGGACATTTGGTTTTCTGGACACTAATTTCCAGGAAAGGATCTGAGTCCTAAGGAATGCCAAATTCTACTGTCATTCATGAAGGTGTAATTATTGTCAAGGACTATTCACTTGTGTTATTTTTTCTAGAACAATTATGTTATTCTGGAGACTGTAACCAAAAGTCATTTTAGCAATAATTGCGTGATATAAGACTGCAGGACATATAAGACAATATGCACATTCAAAAATCAGTTGAAGTTTTATACGCTCGTGATGATAATCTGCAAATAAAGTTAAGAAAACAATTTCAGCCAGGTGCTGGAGACTCACACCTGGAATCCTAACTATTTGGGAGGCTGAAATTGGTGGGATTGTGGTTTGAGGCCAGTCCAGGGAAACAGTTCATAAGACCCCCATCTCTAAAATATCCAGAGCAAAGTGAACTGGAAGTGTGGTTCAAGTGGTAGAGTGCCTGTTTGCAAGCAGGAAGCCTGAGTTCAAACTCCATTCCCACCAAAAAAAGAAAACAATTTCAGTTATGATAGAATCAAAACAAAATATTCACCAATACATTTAATAAAAAAAAAAAGAAATCAAAGACATGAAAGATGTCCTGTGTTCATGGTAATATAATATTACCATGATAATATTGCTGTGATGACAATACTCCCCAAATTGAGCTACAGATTCAATATAAGTCCTGTCAGAATACTAACTGGCTGCTTTACTGAAATTAAAAGCTGATTCTAATATTCATACTTGAGGAACTCAGAATACCTAAAGCAAGCTTAAATAAGAACAAAGTCGGAGGACTCACACTTACTGATTTCAGACTTACTACAAAGCAACTATAATCAAGACACTGTGGTAAGGGGATAAGGCTAGACATACAGGTTAATGGAATAGAATTGAGAATCCAGGAAAAACCCACATATGATCAACCCACTTTCAACAAGGATGTCAAGACCATTTGACAAGGGGAAGGAGTAACTTTTTAACAAGTGGTTTTCGGACATGTAAAAGAAGGAGTTTGGATTTGTACCATACAAAATAATTAACTCAAATAACAAAATTATGGATCAAAGACTTAGAAATAACAGCCCAAACTACAAAATTCTTAGGAGAAAATGTAGGGAAAAGTCTTTGTGACTGTGGGTTAGGCAGTGGTTTCTTAGTAATATACCAAAAGCATAGCAGCCAAAACAAGATAAATTGGACTTCATCAAAATTTAAATCATTCGTGCTTCAAAGGACACCATCAAGAAAGTGAAAGGACAACTCACAGAATGCGAGAAAATACTTGCAAACCATATATTTGATCAGAGACTTGTACCTAAAACAAATACAAAACTCTTACAACTCAATAATAAAAGTGCAAATAATCCCACTAAAAATTAGGCAAAAAAATCTGACTATATACTTCTCCAAAGAAGACATACATATGATCAAGAAGTGAATGAAAAGATGCTCATTGTTAATCAATAGAGAAATTCAAATCAAGATTGCAACAAGAGAGCACTTTACAACCACTAGGATGGCTAGAATAATAAACTTCAGGTTATCAGAAGTGTTAGCTGGAATGTGGAGAAACTACAACCTTCATACTTGCTGGTTAGAAGGTAAAATGATGTGGCTATGTTAGATAACAGCCTGGAATTTTCTCAAAAGGTTAAACACTGAGTTACTATTTGACCCAGCAACTCTACAGCTAGGTATATACCTAAGAGAAATTAAAACATGCAAACACAAACATTTATACACAAATATTTACAAGGCATTGTTCATAAGAGCCAAAATGTGAACAATCTAAACACTCATTACCAGATGAATTGTTATAAAATAGAATATCCACACAGTAGAATACTGGGCCATAAAAAGGAATGAAGTACAAACATGGGCTACAATGTAGATGATCTTTGAAAGCATGTTAAGTGAAAGAAGCCAGTCACAGAAGACTACAGATTTATATGACTCCAGTTATACAAAACATCCAAAATAGACAAATATACAGAGATAGACATAGAGCAGTATACCAAAACATGTGTTATTCTAGGAAAAGGGGGAGAAAAAGGGGCTGGGGGACAGAGCGAGAGAGAAATGTGGAGAGGCTGGTGGAGTGACTTAAGTGGGAGAGCACCTGCCTAGCATGTGCTAAACCCTGAGTTCAAACCCCAGTGCTGCCAGAAAAAAAGAAAAAGAAGAAGAAAAGTAGAGAGAGAGAGAGAAACAAGCTTCTCTCTTTGTCTCTGGAGGCTGGTGTATGAGGATGTGATGCCTGGGGGGAGCTGCCACCATCTTATAATCATGTGAACACTGACCACAGATGAAAAGCAAAATGGTGTGGCCATTCCAGACAGAAGAGTCAACTCTACAGTAGTGCTACCTCTGGGCTTTATCACGTGAGATCCTGTATCTCCTTTTCTTGGTTCTGGGGATTGAACCCAACACTTCCTGCATACTAGGCAAGCACTCTACCACTTGGGTTATACTCCAGCTCTTTTGTCTGTAATTTGTTTTTGAGATAGGGTCTTGCTGCTACCCTTACCCAGGTTGGCCTCAAACTGTCAATCCTCCTTCCTCCACCTCCTACGTAGTGGAACCAAAGGTGTGTCCCATCATGCCTGGCTCTGAATCTCATTTTGTAAGGCTATTTTGAGTTGGCTTTGCTATTATGGCAAACCTCTACAGTGAATCTTCACTGCTTTAGCACCCCTCCTCTCATCCTTTCTCTGCTTTGCTTTGGCCACACAATCATCTATTTTTCTTAAAAGCACTTTTGTGTTCTCAGATTGCTCATTCAAATTTTGGCTGTGTGCTTCTCTTAATTGTCCATTTTATTCCTCCTACTCCTTTGAGGATAAACACAATGTCAGTATGGAGTTAAAAAATTTCCCCGGTCAGAATTCATTTCTTCCCTCAAGCTCCAGAGCAGGTCGCTCATAGCTCTGCCTGATGCATATGTCATCTTTATCTTCTTACAGTCAACCTCTGTGAGAACTAGGGTGGTGTCTTATCTTCTGCATGTCCACCCTGCACATCTCTAGGGGTGCTGCTCACACTGAGGGCAGAGTGGCGCTTGGGGCCCTGCGGGAGAAGCTCATTTACACGACTGAGACCTAGTCTAGGGCCACTGTAACTGGAACAAAAGGTCTTTATTCCCAGGGCATTAGCTGACAGGCAGCAAAGAAAAGATCTGAATAAAAGCTTGATGTTCCAGTTCATCTATGCACTTTGTGTTTTCCTTCTGGATCTGAGGCCACAAAGTATCAAAATATGAAGGAAAATGCATTCCCTTTTCATATTTATAACACTTGGGAGTTAATTTTCCATTACTGAAGATATCCTTGTGTTTTTGCAAATGGAAATTATTCATTAGTCAGTAAAATGCTGTGTACTTGCTTCCCTCGTTGATATTTTGTTTAGAATATAAGATCACAGCAGAACTTCTGGCAGAGAGAGACACCAGCTGATTCTAAAAGCTCTATGAAAGGGCAATGGCATTAGAATAGCTAGAACTATTCTGAAAAAGTAGAGTAGTGTGGGAGGAAGTACACTCTGCACTGTGAAGACTTACAACATAGCCACAGTCATCAAGCGAATGTGATAGGGACAAAGGATGAGCAGTTGAATGCAACAAAAGGGAGCTTAGAAACAGACCCACGGGGTACAGCCAGTTATTGACCGAGGCATAAAAGTAATCCAATGGATTAAGGATACTTTTGGTTTGGTTTTTTGTTTTTTTACAAATGATGAATACCTATATGTAAAAAAAAAAAAAGAGCAAACCTCAAAGTAAATCCTACACCTTGTATAAAAATTAACTGAAAATGAGTCATATATTAAAATATGCCATGTAAAAACCACTTTAATTTTAGAAGAAAATACAGGAGAAATACTTTTTTTTTTTACACCAGGGATTAGGCAAAGAGATTTGAGACATGGCAGCAAAAGCGTAATTTGGGAAGAAAAATGGAAACAGGTGTTTCTAATTACACTCACCAGGGGAAAGAGGAGCCTTCTTAGAGAATGCCCAGGGGTAAACTAAGAGGTACAGACCCTTCCCAGGACCTGTGCTTTTTTAGAGCAGTAATTTAGGGTAGTGTTGGCCTGGAGCAACTTCTGTCCTAATGCAGGGTGACTATTGACAGAAACCAGCCCCCCATGTGTGCCCTGAGCTGGTGGAGTGGCTCAAGTGGTAGAGCACCTGCCTAGCAAGTGTGAAGCACAGAGTTCTAACTTCATACCACCAAAAAGAAAGAAATTGTTTTTACAAATGAATATGTCATTAAAAAAAGAAAAGAAAAACAGAAAGAGTGGGTAGCTAAGTCAGCATGCAGTGCAGACACAACTCACAGCTCCTGCTGAGTCCACGGTCTGTCACAGACAACACACCAGGAGGACACAGTTTTCATTTCAGAGAAGGAAGAGGCCCACAGGCAATGTCTCTATCAGCTTATGGTTTCCAAACTTTACAACCTTTGAAGTCAGTACTGAAACCTGACCCTACAGAGGGCAAAACTTTAAATCCATGGTCTGACCTTCCTAGGTGATCCAACATTGCCTCTACAGCTCTACCCAACTTGACAGGGCTTAGAAGTTTCATGGTGGAAGCCAACATAGGAATAAAATAGTTACAAATGCTGGTAAAAATGACAGTTATGTAGCCCTTTCCGCTTACAATATTTGACAACAACTCATCTTAACAGATTAAGACTATCATAAAATGATGCATACACACACACACACACACACACACACACACACAAAATGGGCACACTTCTTCAAAGGATGAAATCCATGACATGAGGAAAGGCTCTGTAAAATTTACTTTAGAAGACTTGCCTTTCATGGCCTCCCCCTTTTCAGTGAGCTCTGGGGAGTATGTGGCCATGAGGGGATGTCATGCAGGCTGTGCTCGGTTTCTCCAGCTCCAGAGTCAGTGAGACTCTGGTTACAAGACTGTGGGCCCAGCTGACTTCCTCTTATCATAAATTGGGAATAGTAATACCTATGGGCAGGTCTGACATGAGGACATAGACCACAGTTCAACTCACAGTGAGCCCTGAAAGGTCATGGTTCTTTCCCCCTCTTCAGCATCTCATAGACAGAAGCTGGGGCTGTCCCAGGGGGCTCTGTCACGAAAGCCCTGAGAACTGTTCAGAGGCAGTGCAAGCTCAATGTTACCTTTGGTCCTGTCTCCAAGCGGGAATACAGTAAGTAAGTATGCAAGTCCCCATACTTCATGAAGGGTAAAACCACCATGGGCTTCGGGATGCCTTGAGAGCTCAGTTCTATACACACGCCTGAAATTAAAAACAGAACCAGTTACAAAAAGCCATTGTTGTGGGTAACCGGATAAGCCCCGGGGGACCTATGTGCTACCAGGTTAAGAGTTTAAAAAAGCAAAAGCTCCTAATTTACCCATTATGTTTTAGGATATGAATACACACACAGGCTCCACTATCGGCTTTTTGGGTTTTTTTTTCTTCAGATTAGGACCAGTCTTTGCATGAGAACTCTCAGAAATCAATCTGCCACAAAGACAGCCAACTAGAAACCTAGGAGTTTTTGTTATTCTGTGTGTAGCTGAGTGACCTCATTAGAATTTGAGGGCAAATTAGCTTCATGTGATGATTAAATACTTAATCATATGAAGAAGTCTATTACAACCAGATGCTTAAAAATATTAAAAGAATTTTGAGGCTGGACATGGTGGCTCACACCTGTAATCCTATCTACTTGGGAGGCAGAGATCAGAAAGATCATGGTTTGAGGTCAGCCCAAGTAAAAAGTTCGAGAGACCCCATCTCAACCAAAAAAAGCTGGGCATTGTGGCTAGCACCTGTTGCTGAAATATGTGAGGAACATAAATAGGAGGATCACGTCCAGGCCATCCTGGCCATAAACACAAGACCGTTTTTGAAAAATAATTAAAGCAAAAAAGGATAGAGTGTGTGACTCAAGTATTAGAAAGTCTGCCTCACAAGTATGAGGCCCTGAGCACAAACCCCAGTACTGTACCCCCGACCCCAAAAAAGAATGAGAGCCTACAGGTAAAAATGCAGTTCATTAAATCTTAAATTATATAAGGGAGAAGCCAGAATACCACTTATCACGAAATTCTAGAACTACAGCCAGTCACCTGATTATAGGCTTGCAAAGTACTTGCACTTTGCCAAGCAATGACAAAGTACAATTGTTCTCACAGTCCAGCTAACGCCAATAGCTGCAAATAAATAACAGTCATTTCTTTGACATAATATTGTATCCAAACATTAGTTTTCACATCCCTTTGCAGTGTCAATCACACAACACCTTGAAAGATCCCAAAAGAATTTATCATGGATAAAGTAAAAGGACAAAAAAAAAAAGAGGACAGCAGAAAATTCCATTATTTCCAGGTTGCTCCTATCTTTTAGAATAGTGTCCCTTACACAGCATCACTGACACCTCATCTTCTCTTTTGTATTTTTTATCTAACAGAGCTATAAAGCCAAATTATGCTAAATCACATTCCATGAAATTATCAGTATACCACAATAAAAAAAATCAGTATTTTCAAATAGGTTTATAGATCATTTCTCAAAGATGATTTGGGGAATTTATCTACTTTTATAGATTTACTCCACTGGTATCTGATTCATAGATAACCTTAAATAAGCAAAGATTATCCCATGACCACTTCTTGCATCTTGCCTTTGAGTCTCTGGTGGCTATTTTAATCCACAGTCTTCTCAATCTCTGTGGACACTTTTTTTTTTTTTTTTTGGAGTTCAGTGATTTTTTTTTTTTTCTCTGTGGACACTTAACCATCCCTGAGCTCATGGGTGTCCAGGAAACACAAACCCATTTTTACCATTAGCCTCAGAAAATGGAACCATAAGAGGCCAGGCCTGGTGGTGCACTCCAGCAACTTGGAAGGTGGAGGTAGGAAAATCAAGGTCTGGGGCTATCCTGGACAAAAGTGTGACACGTGAGCTACTATCTGAAAACCAAACTAAAAGCAAAAGGACTGGGAGTGCGGCTGAAGTGGCAGAGCATTTGCCTAGCAAGCATGAGTTCAATTCTCAGTAACAACTAAACACACACACACACATACACACACACATATTGAGAGAGAGAGACAGAGAGAGGGGGAGAGATTAGAATCAAACAGGTAGTTTTCTGGATAAAAATCCAGTGCTGTAAATTCCTTTGGGGTTATGCAAAGTGTAAATTTATGTGTACCAAAGACTTTTCCCTTTGGCACATACTAGATTAGCCAAGTCCCCTGACCTCCCCTAACCCCCCAAGTCCTGCATTTTATTTCCCTGAGGTACCTAGAAGTCGGATGACGTTTGGGTGGCTGAAGTCTTTCATGCACGCCGCCTCACTGAGAAACTCCTCGATCTCCCGCTGAGAAAAGTTGTCCACTAAAGGAGCAGATGGAAAATGTTAGGCACAATTACTCAGTTAAGGGTAGGAGGCAGGCAAAAGCAAGTGCATTCTCTAAAATTAAAACTATGCTGTGTGTGGTGGTATACATGTATAATCCTGGCACTTGGGAGGTTGAGGCAGGAAGGTCTTGAGCTCCCACCCAGCCTGGGCTACATGGTGAGACCCTATTTCAAAAAGCAAACAAACAATAACTAAAATCAGGAAAAGGAAACTCTATAGACTGTGAACATGAGTGTGAGGGTTGGTGGGATTGTGGGGAGAGAAGAGAGGGACCAATACGTGAAGCACAGGATTTTTAGGGCTGTGAAACTTCTGTATGATGCTATAACTGGACATATACCATTTATATATTTGTCAAACCCATAGAACTGTGCAATACCAAGAGTGACTCTCGTTAAAACTAAGGACTTTTGTTAATAATAATAATATGTCAACATAGATTCATCTATCATAAAACATACACCACAGTAATGAAAGATGTCTGTAACACAGGAGTTTAATGTGTAAGAAAGAGGAGAAGGGAACGAGTGGAAACTTTCTATATTTTCAATGATTCCTATAAACCTAAAACTGCAGTAAAGAAAAATAAAAACAAAAAGTAAAACACTAAATTCAATTCCAACTTATATATCCCAAGTATCTTTGCCTTAAAAAAAAAAAGGTACTCCACCTGTAAGTCTGGTTCTTCAATCATTCCTTGTGAGCTGGGTGCACTTTCATACCAAATTTTTGGAATGAAACCAATTTAAGAGAGCTATTTAAAATTCAATATTATGCTACATGAAATAAGGCAGCCACAGGAGAGTAAGCACTGTATGATTCCACTTTAGAGAAGGAAAGTCAGAGACAGAAAGTAGTATAGTGGTTGCCAGGTGCTGGGGAGGAGGTGCTAGTGCTTAGTAGGGACAGAGTTTCAGTTTGAAAAGTGAAAAGATTTGGAGATGGATGGTGGTGATGATAGTTGCACAACGTGAAGGTACTTGATGTCAGTGACTTGCACACTCAAAAATGGTTAAGATGGTAAATTTTACTTTGTATTTTACTATGATTAAAAACAAATAGGCAGCCAGGCGCTGGTGGTTCACGCCTATAATCCTAGCTATTCAGGAGGCAGAGATCAGGAGGATTATGGTTTGAAGCCAGCCCCAGCAAATAGTTTCTGAGACCCTATCTGGAAAAAACCCATCACCAAAAAAAGGGCTAGTGGAGTGGCTCAAGGTGTAGGCCCTGAGCTCAAACCCCAGTCTGCAAAAAAACAGAAAATTTGGAAGAAAATTAAAAACCTTTATATCTGCAACATGTCCACCAACTTTGCCCTCACCTATTACCTTTGCTGCAAAGGTGGGCAGAACAGAAGACAAGGCTCTGCTTGCAAACCCATCCCCAAAGACCGACTCCAGGCAAATGAGATGAACCTGGAAGTTCTGAGACCAGAGATGATTCTTTCAATCTTTGATAATTAGCACGATGCAATCCATGTGCAAGCTATTCTGAGGTCAGTCAGCCCATTCCCTGGGGTCATATGTCGCCATCAGATCCCCCTGACTCAAATATATGCTTTTTTTTCCGAATCATTAGCTCTACTAGATAATGGGAGGAGGGGAGAAAGAGAGATGGGAAGAATGTTGGAGGTGGCAGAAACAAAAGCTGCTTTGAACGTAAAGAATATACAATGAATGTATGAATAGCTCATTACAGCAACTTCCCCTGGTGACCAGGGTTCCACATTGCCTTCTGAACCATCAGACACTGGAATCTGAACCCGACCACTGGCCTCCACAGAGCACCCAAAACTGAAGCCACTGCTCACCCCAGAGGATGGGTTTCACACTCATAACTCACACTTCATGGTCTTCACTGCCACTTTCTGAGAGGTCCCATCTTCCTGCTTCAGATTTCCTTCCATTACAGACCCAAACTCTCCTGCGAAGGGAAACAACAGCTACATGGATGCTGTGCAAATTCTCCCTGACCACAGAAATGTCACAGTGCCAGCCCTGCTGTTTTCATGTGGTCTGAGGGTGACAAATCTGCAGGCAGCTGGGCAGAACCCACCCAGACCTCTCACACTTGCACGCTAGCCGTGTTCCTCATGCACTAATGCCCTGTGTAACTTGTCACTTTATTAAGAATTATAACTGACCCAAGGCACTTACAGAAAACATGCAAAACATTAGTGAAGTTCACAAAGTACAACTTTTTTTTTTTCCTTCAGTGCTGGGAATGGAACCGAGGGCCTCACACTTTAGGCAAGCTCTCCACCACTGAACTACATCCCACTCCAAAGCACAAACTCTTAGTATCATCATTTATTCTAGAACTAATTTGGGATATAATACATATATACATAAACTCCCTGTATAGCTGTCTTAAACAAACAGAAATGTCTTTTTTCAAAAATGAAGGACAGGAAGGTAAAATGGGTCCTGTCTGAGGGTCAGTACCAGTGGGAGGGAGAGTAGATATACAGAAGGGGTGGAGGAGGGTGAATATGGTGCAAATATTATGTACTCATGAATGAAAATGGAAAAATCAGACCTGTTGAAACTATTCTAAGGGGGGTGGGGAGGGAGAATAAAGGAGAATGATGGAGGGGGTAAATTTGACTAAGATACATTGTAAGCACTTTTGTAAATGTCACAGTGTACCTCCAGTACAACAAAAATACAATAATAAAAGTTAAAAAAACTAACAAATTAACTATTTATTTCCACCTTTGTTTCTATTCAACTAATTAGGAAGGGACCACAAATAATCAATTTAAGAAATAGAGGAGTGAACTTAAAGCACATTTAAAGAACACTGAGAAATGAATTGCATGCTTTTCAGTGCAGAAAGAGAATGAATATTTTCTAAGCCTATCGTGTATTCTAAGGGCTGTGGGTAACTTGTTCCTGTACAAAAATCACTAGCTTCATCTTAAGTTATGAAATAAAATTGTTTGTATTGTAACTCCAAGTCAAAAAGTGGTATTTTATTTAATAAATGCACATTGTAAAAATTCCTCTTAACCACTTGTCTTCTTATCCCATATTTTAGAAGAATTACTTTAAATTGCTTACCTTCACCCAGAATTTTACCAAGAATTAGAAGATTCCTGTCAATCACAACATCTTCTAGTTTATTTTTCAGTTCCTCACTGACTCCCAAGCTATGCACTGTAAAAGGAGTAACAAGGTGCATATAATATTGTCAGTGTGCTTCTTTCATTTAAATATAATCAGAATTATATTTAAAGTCCTGTGTAATAGTTACATGTATTTCTTTCTTCTTCTTCTTTTTTTTTTTTTTTTGGCAGTACTGGAGTTTAAACTCAGGGCCTCACACGTATGAGGCAGGCACTTTACCAGTTGAGGCACTCCACCAGCCCTATTTTGTGTTAGGTTTTTGTTTTTTTTTTCCAGGATAGAGTCTCACAAACTATTTGCCTCAGGCTGAGGGATTTTTTTTTTTTTAATTCTTAAAACAGGCAGGTAGTATACACTTGTAATTCCAGCTACTTGGGAGGCAGAGTAAGGAGGATCTCAAGTTCGACGACAGCTGGGGGAAAGGTAGCAGGGAAAGCCTATCTCAAAAACAAACAAGCCTGGTGCAGGTGACTTATGCCTGTGACTCTTGGTTCGAAGCCAGCCTCAGGCAAATAATTCATGAAACCCTATCTTAAAAATAACCAACACAAAAAAGGGCCGTTAGAGTAGCTCGACCCTGAGTTCAAGCCCCAGTATTGCCAAAAAAAAAAAAAAAAAAACCAAAAAAAACCCAAAAACCAGATTACAAAACAGCAACAAGGAGAAGGCTCAAATAGTAGAATTCTTGTCTGGCATGCTAAGGCCCTGGGTTCAAAAGTATATCAAGTTTAAGAATAGCCAGGGGAAAGGTAGCAGGGAGAACCTGTCTCAAAAACAAACAGATTACAAAATAACAGGAGCAAAAAGGCTCAAATAATAGAGTGCTTGTCTAGCATGCCAAGGCCTAGGTTCAAAAATATTCTTAAAACAGACATTGAAAAGTCAAAAAACATGGGCTGGTGGAGTGGCTCAAGTGGTAGAGCATCTGCCTAGCAAGTGTGAGGCCCTTAGTTCAAACCCCAGGACCACCAAAAAAAAAAAAAAAAAAAAAAGAACAAGAAAAAAATGTCTAAACATATAGATTAGAAAATAAATTAATGTTATATGACAAGCGAGTTTTGATTTCATAGCAGCTGTAGTTCATCATTCTTATTTCCTTTTTGTTTTGTTTTGGCAAACATTCAGAAGAACGAATTTTATAACATTTGTACATTCTTTCTATGCTGTTTCTGACATTACACAATAACACTGGCAATGGTTCACCCCCTCTTCAAACCAGAAACCCTTACTCTGATTCAGCAAAATTCAAGCCATAATTGATACAAAGCATATCGGCAAACTGTCCTCTGAGTTGGTTGCCAGGAAAACAGGAAATGAGGCTTGAGATTATGTCCATTGCTTTGCTGTTTCCTTTAAATCCCTGACCTCTACCCCATCTCTACCACCCAGAAGGTTCCTCTTCCCCTCATGTTTTGTGGCATTGTGAATCCTTAACCCTGGTTTCTTAATCCCTGCTCCAACTCCAGATTTCCAGTAATCTAGCCAGTGGAGATGTGTGTGACAATGTCTAATTATTTACTTGCTCCTGTCTGAAAACATTTTGTATATTAAAAATATCCATACTTCAATTCTTGGCTTTCGGTACAAATCTGTCTGTTGGTCATTCTTTCTTACTCTCCACTGTTTTAACTTTTGCCAAAAAGTGAAATAAAGTCAACTTACAGGTGAGTTCAATGGCTCGCCGACAGAAGGACTTCTTTGCTATATAATTTACAACTAATTCAGAGTCTTCCTCTGTGAATGCACTCCTGGGGGGATGAAAACAGACATCAAATTATAAAGACAGGGCTACAGAGCAGGTGCTGATTCCTCAAGGAGGTTACAAAGTTATCACCTTTTAAAAGGGCTCTTCTGCAAATATGTTTCTTTCCTTACATCTTAGAAATATTAAAACAACTCTATCCATGCACCATCAAGAGCAGAGAATAGAGCTAGAGGTGTGTCTCAGTGGTAGAGAGTTTGCCTTGCATGCTTAAGGCCCCAGGTTTGATCCCCAGTACCAGTACCACACACACACACACACACACACACACACACACACACACACACAAAGAAAAAGAAAAAAAATCCTAAGAGCAAAAAATAACTGGTAAATTTTCAATGGCCAAATATCAGCCACATAGTAAAGTATAACATGAATATCCATATGTATAGATATAAATATGATTCACTAAATTAAATGAATAAAATGAATTCAACAAATGAAAAGACAAATCTCCTGAGTAGAAAAATTCCAAAGATTTTATGTGGATGCTATACCCTTAAGGGTTAGGGGAAGCTAAATCCTCACCTTACGTGTGGATTGCACATAGTGACTTGTGTTCAAAGAAAGGGAGACAAAAAATAACTTAATGGAAGAGAAACCTACAAACTCTACCACAGTCAGATGTTGTCACTGTCAACATCAACAGTGACAAATCATGTTGGTACTATGCACCCTTGATATAATGGAATGAAAATGGCACATTAACCTCAGTTCTTCCTCTTAGTAACCCATAATCCCAGGTTTAGCAGGAGCTAACCATCAAATTCCAGTACAGGGGTATCCTACAAAACACCAAATCAGCATTCTTGAAAACAGACAAGATCATCAAAGACAAGGAAGCTCAGAAATGCCACTACTAAGCGGACCCTAAGGGAACATGACAACCCAACCAATAACATGAGATCCCAGACCAGAGAGGCACATTAGGGAAACTGAGAAACTCTGAATACAGTATAGGTTTTAGTTAATGATAATGTATCAGTATTGGTTCATTAATTGTAACAAATGAACTATTCTAATATAAGATGTTGATAGCAGAGGAAACTAGGTAAGAGAGACAAGGAATGTATATACTATCTTAAATTTTCTGTAAGTTTAAAACTGTTCTTAAAAAGCATATTTTTTAAAAAATCCATTTAGGCTTATTTTGGACTAATTAGTAGTAGTACAGTATTGTTAGTATAAATTATAGGTTTAATTTCACTTTCCCTTGGGTATATAGGTGATTTTTAAAGAGATAACACAATTTTGAAAATAAACAAGGCAAAGCATTTGGAGGGATGAATTCCAAAATGGCAACTAAGACCGTATTTGAATCCCAGTTACAGAGGGGCGTCACTTCCTACTTTTGACCCCTTGGTATAATCTGATTTGATTGATTGACTGGTGTGTGTGTGTGTGTGTGTGTGGTGCTGGGGATGGAACCCAGAAATTTGCGAATGCTAGGCAAATCTGTACCACTGAGATTCACCCCCAGCCTGGGGCTGATTCTTTAAACTGTAAGAATGTTACTTTTTTTTTTTTTTTGCGGTACTGGAGTTTGAACTCAGGGCCTTCACATTGAGCCACTCCACCAGCCCTTTCTTGTGAAGGGTTTTTTTGACATAGGGTCCCTAGAACTATTTGCCCAGGCTGGCTCTCAACCATGATCCTCCTGATCTCTGCCTCCTGAGTAGCTAGGATTATAGGCGTGAGCCACTGGTGCCTGGCTAGAATGTTACCTTTGTAAGTAGAAAAAAAGGCATTTTCATTTAAAAATGAACAGAAAGGTGCTGTACAAAATGAAGAAATGAATGATGTCCTGGAGAGGACCCTTGGGAACTGGCTTTAATATACAGTAAACCTGCCTCATTTGCAGATTTATTATATGTGGTTTTGAGCAAGTTCCAGCAAAATAAAGAAATTTCAAAACCAAAAAATTTTCATTCCTGCACATGCATCCTGCAGCTCAGTGGATGTGGAGAGGCTCAGTCAGTCCCTCATTCCCATTAGTCCTATTTACATCGTGTGATCTGCTGAGCGTTTCCCTGCCCTTCATTTTGTGAAAATTTGCCTCCTGAAAAGCAAATGGTGCTCCCAAAGCAAGATAAATGTGAATGTGCTTAATTAACTAAAAAAGGATAATTTTAGATTTGTTGAAAGGCAGCATATCTTTAGTGGAAATTGGGCTATGCACTTGCAGCACTGGCCTGAAGTCTATGCATGCTGAACATATGTGGTTTTTCCTCAACTGAGGCCCCACTGGAACATACCTGTGGATGCCAACGGTCTAGTGCACAGATAAATCACCTGTCACCAGCCTTTCACTTGTTTTAAGCTCCTGCTGAGCTTAATGGTATGAGTTTAATAATTTTTTTCCAAAAAGCTCTTGCACATCTATTGGGTTTATTCTTAGGAACACTGTAGTTTTCATGCTATTGTGAATGAGATCTATTCTAACACTTTGTTTTTAATGTATTTTTGTTATTGTTGTTTTGAGACATGGTCTCGCTATGTAACCCAGGCTGGCCTTTTTTGTTGTTGTTGTTGTTGCAGTACTGGGGTTTGAACTCAGGGCCTACACCTTGAGCCACTCCACCAACATCTGTTTGTGGTGGGTGTTTTCAAGATAAGGTCTCAGGAACTACAGAATAGGTGAGATCAAAAAGAATTAACCTAGAAGGTAACACACACACACAGGAAATTAATGTGAGTTAATTCCCTGTATAGCTATCCTTATCTCAACCAGCAAAAACCCTTGTTCCTTCCTATTATGGCTTATACTCTCTCTACAACAAAATTAGAAATAAGGGCAAAATAGTTTCTGCTGGGTATTGAGGGGGTGGGGGGGAGAGGGAGGGAGCGGAGTGGGTGGTAAGGGAGGGGGTGGGGGCAGGGGGGAGAAATGACCCAATCCTTGTATGCACATATGAATAATAAAATAAAAATAAATAAATAAAAATGTGTGAAGTGTTGAATAGCCAAAAAAAAAAAGATAAGGTCTCACAAACTTCTTGCCCGGGCTGGATTTGAACCTTGATCCTTCTGATCTCTGCATCCTGAGTAGCTAGATTGCAGGCATGAGCCACCAGCGCCTGGCCCCAGGCTGGTCTTGAACTTTTGATTCCCCTGCTTCAACCTCCCTACTGCTGGGATTACAGGCCTGTGACACCATACCTGGTTTGTCTTTAATGCATTTTAAAACCAGAATCAAAATATTGTTATGACACATACTGTCTTAAACAAAAATATTAAATTTCTTTTTAAAGAAAAAGCAAGGAATGGGGGAGCCAAGGTGAGACTTCAGAGGCAGCAACAGGAAAGGTTTTATATTTCTAGGGACTGGGAAGAATGGCACTGCTATGTGCTGTTCCTGAAACTGTTGGCAGAAGTCTCAAAAGGCAATGGAGCATCCTTTTGCTGGTAAGCCCACTCCTTTGGGATCACCATAGCTGTACACTGTTCTAGGAGTCCTTACCAGGCTCCCTGTGGGAGCACCAGCCATCACTTTCTTGCTTCTGTCTTTGTTAGTCCTTTGTTCTAGGTGGTCTCAAGCAAATGTATTTATGAATCATTCTTTTTTTTTTTTCAGTACTAGAGTTTGAATTCAGGGCCTCATGCTTGCTAGGCAGGTGCTTTACGCTTGAGCCACTCCTCCAGTCCTTATGAATCATTCTTAATGATTACTATTTCAATAATAGTAACCATGAATTCCCACTTGCTGACACAACTGCATGGCCACAGATTCTGTAGAACATCAACATCTCTTAACTGCTGAGTGTATATAAAAGTCTTAATTTAGAATCGCAGCAATTAGGACTGGTAGTGACCTTGGAAACCATTCAGAGACAGATAATACCCAGGAAGGCTTGAAAAGGTAAAAAGGCTTCTTATCTAAGTGACAGAATCCAGGCGTCATTACTTCAGTTCAGTGCTTTGCCATGCACACAGGGCCTTAGCGTGTGCTGCTCTCTCTGGCTGGAATGCTTTCCCCTTCTCCCACCTAAAGAGTACCTGCTCTTCCTTCAGATCCAGGGTCAGGTATTAGTCACCTCTTCAGGAAGGTCTTCCTTTACTTTCTTAATGCAGTCAGATTCTCCTGATTATGCACTTTTATCCCTTTATATACAATTCACCATGATTGTCATTTTATTTATGTGACTGAGTATGCCTGACTCCCCATCAACTATGAGTCCTCAAGGAAAGGCTCTTGCTCACCACTGTGCTCCAGGCTCCCACTCGACCTCCTCTTGCGCCTTCTGCAGAGGCTCTCTGCACTCGTTTCATCATGAGTCCAAAAACCACACCAGACCCTGGTCAACTCTCTGTTTATATCAGATTTTGTCCACTTCTTTAAAACTGTTGCTCTTAGAATTTATATATTAAGATATACTAATTATATGGAAAGAGTTCTAAAGACTGAAATAATAAGGGCACTCTGACCTCCACTTATTCCAGTGGAAGGGAAAGTCTTGGAGCAAGTGGAATGTTCTAACAGCATTCTGAAGGTGGAGCAATAGACTGCTCAGTCCTATTCCAAGATGACAACAGCTTGCCTCATACAGAACATTTCCTCCTGACCCATGACTGACAAGTCAGATTTCAGGGAACTCCAAATCCACTGCAGAGTCCAGGAATGGAAGACTTGGTTCACATACAGTCTTTTTATCAGAACCTGCTTTAACATGGCTTCTTGTTTGCTGATCTTTAACTAGTATTTTGTTATAAAAGCAAGATGCATAGAAAAGAAGAAAAAGAGCTTTTAGAAGCAAAAAAGTTTACTCCATCATATAAATAAGAGAGCACTATAGAAAATGTGCAAAATACAGAAAAAAAAAAAAAAAAAGAAAACCCAGTCACCCACAATACCATCAGCCACAGGTGCTAATGCACTGGTGAATTTCACCTATACTTTTATCTGTGTATGCAGGTGAGTGTCCCTTATCTGAAATGACTTAGGCCAGAAATGTTACAAATTTCAGACTTTTTCAGACTTTGGAATATTTATATACATAATGACATATCTGGGGGTGGCATTCAAGTCTAAGCACAAAATTCATGTGTATTTCATACATACCTTATACACATAGCCTTGAGGTAATTTTATAAAATAGTTTTGGTAGTTTTGTGCACGAAACAAAGATTCATAGTGTGGTATCATTTTGGTCTTTAAAAAGTTTCAGACTTTGGAGCCTATTGGATTTCAGGTTTTCAGATTAGGGATGAAAGTCCTCACTTAACAGCACTCCAGTTTGAGTAGTGAAGGCCTTCTGATGCTCTTTTCTGTAAACGAGCCCTTTGCTGGCTGGCTTTGCTGTTGGCTGACTTTGTGGGAAATGATCTAACTAAGGAAGCTGCCTGCTCTAGGGCAGGCACAAGACAGGGAGCCCATCTGGGAGCAAAGTGAGGAGCATGGCTAACAGAAGAGGCATTGTCACCTGGCACAACTTCCCATCAGTACCACTGGACCAACATTTTTAACTGGGAAACTTACCCAAACTTTGTCTCCTGGACTCTTTTCCTGATGGCCAGAGAAATATAGAAAGCCAAGGCAACCAGAACAATTCCACAAAAGCAGCCAAGGATGATAAGAACAGGCTCTGTGTTGCCAGGTGCTGGAGTGGACGAGGGCGCAAGATCTACCCCGCCTGGCAAAATACAGAAAAAAAAAAAAATCAATTCTAAACATTTTTTGGTATTCAAAAATATTAGGTTGTAATTAGGGGAGGACGAATAGTTAAGAGCTTTGAGAGCTTGGTTGATTCTTTTTCTGTTTTGTGACCAACAAATGTAGGTAGTCCATACCTTGTGCAAGCTAGGACTGTGTATACAGTTTTCTTAATACTCAGTGAAACTAGCTTGATTTTTATCATTTCACAATTATACATACATCAAAACCTTGCATTGTACTCTACAAGGATACATAATTTTTCATTTGTCAATTTAAAAAATGGAAGACTCTATGTTGGTTATAAATATATAAGAAAATTAAAAAATTAGTGAAACTAATATTTGTTTGGTGCACTGTAATTTTTTTTTTGAGACATGGTCCCACTATGTAGTTCAAAGTGGCCTTTCACTTTCAATCCCCCTGCCTCAGCCTCCTGAGTGCTGGGATTACAGGTATGTAACACCACACTTGACTGATGCACTGTAAATCAAAACGTTAGAAGCAGTAAGAATCAAAGTTAATTCTTTGTTATAAAAAACAAGAAACCCCCCACAAAACCTATCAAGCCAGGTGTGGCAAGGCATGCTTGTAATCCCAGCTCTAACTGAGCCAGGAAGATCTCAAATTTAAGCTCAGCCTGAGCTACATAGTGAGTTCAAGGCCAGTCTACATAGTGAGATTGTCTCAGAAAACCAAGGACTGAGGATCTAGCTCAGAGTACTTGCCTAGCATATACAAGGTGCTGGGTCTGACCTCCAGCATCTTAAAAAAAAAAAATACACACAAACAAACAAGTAATCAAAACTATCAAAAGCTATTTGAACAGCGTCTTCTAGTCATGTAACTTATGACTCAGACAAAATATATTATTCTATGTCATGGAGACTTGTCATATTCCTTTCCAAGTTTGGATAAAATTCTGTTGTTTTAACTTTTGTTCTTTCAATGTTGTATGGTATCCCTGAGGATTCCTTTAATGTGAAGTTTTTTGATATTTTTGTTTGTTTCTTTGTTTTGCAGTACTGGAGACTAGAACCCAGGGCCTCGTGTGCTAGGTAAGTGCTCCACCACTGATGTGCACCCCTAGTCCAGAATGTGAAGCCTTTTGCCAGTGTCACTTTCTCTGGGGCATTTTCATTGTTTTTGTCACAATCACTGCATTTGTGTCAAAAAGCTGGCCTTCATCAAGTTGCTCAGGCCGCACAGCCAGAGTCCATCAGACAACAGCAGTGTTAGCATTCTGTGGTCCACTTACACTCAAATTGAACTTCACTTCCAACGCTACGCTTTGCATTTCTGTCTTCTACCTTCGTCTTATTCACCGATTCCCTCTTTCAATTATTCATGTTTATAAAAGTCATGTGGGTTCATCCCTGGAGGACAGGGAGGCACAGCCATGTGCCTTTGCTAGATGTGCGTGAACTGAATGACAAAGACACGGTGGCCAATCACTGACTGACTTGGGGAGGAGCCGTCTGACTGGCCATGGTAATGGCGCACATCTGTGCAGTGAAGTTTATGCTTTACTCAACTGCAGTTCATATAGGAGGGTAACTAAAATTTGAGCCTTATTGTTGGGAAACTCGTGTCACTTAAACTGTGGTAACTGATATTTACACATATTGGAGCTGTGTAAGGTGTGCTTATTACAGCGAAGCTTTTAAAACTTTTAGAGTTTGTTAAGTATGAAGATGAAAGTTTGACAGTCTAAACCTAAGCTGTACCTTTAGAATCTCACTGTCTTTGAATTGCTTCTAGGCAGACACACCTGTCTCCCCATCACCACTAATTAACATTCACCAGGCACTGGCTGCAGTGATGTAATATGGCTCCAGTTCAGCACTAAAAGGGACTGTGTGTTGGAAGGTCACTGGTAACAGACAGACAGGAACTCAATCATTGTCTCTCAAGTCCTATCTGCTACTGGGTACAAAGACCATGTTTGCTGAGAACTTGTAAACACGTAGGTCACATGGTATAGATGTCTGTGTGGATTTTATGACAGTGATTTAACATCCGACAACCTAGGGCAGATCACAGTCAGAACAGAGGTGGCTCCACTGGTGTTTGGAAGCAGGTGCAGGGTGTGGACCACCTGGGGCACCACAGGGGCTCCTTGCCAAGGAACATTGGAGCAACACGCAAGGCCAGCACGCATGGTTGGGCATTCAGCTCAGACAGCCCTGGGCAGTCAGAAGATGCCTTCTGTAGGGAGCACTTGATGCAGACTAAATCAAAAAGCACATTACCCAAGGGTTGAATGGGTAAGAACAAGGCAAATTGCAGCACTGCCGAAAAGACAACAGAACAAATCTAGCAAATCAACAGTGCCAGTCATGCACAAGCTAAGGATTGGCTGCACTGCCTGTCCAAAATTCAGTCATGTGGCCTCATTTAAGGCAAATTCTACAAGTAGAGTTGAATTTGGCATTTGGAAAGGACCAATCTGCTTAGTAAGTTATTACCATTGGTAGTAATGGTAGGACCACCCACACTTGTGGGGATTCTGTGAAGTCTGTTATCCCATCAAACACCTCTATCACTGCAGAAAATTTTTTTAGCACTTGGTTTTCATTCTTTAATCAGCTGCCATTGCTCAGTTACTCTTATAGCCACGCCAGATCCCCACTCTTACCGTGTGCAGGGATAAATATTTTCACTGGCTCACTGAAAGGCCCGACTCCCCCTTTAGTGACGGCTGCAATCCTCACTGTGCATGTGGCATTGTAGACTTGAACAGAAATCTGAGTCTGGCTGCCATTCTGGCCAACTTCTTCAGAGAGCTCTTTCTGGGGACAGAGAAGAAAAAATGAAATGAAGTACTGAGGTACCAGGGATCCATTACCTCCTTGCCCACAGTTCCTCCTGAGGGAAGCCACCCACTTCCCATGGGGCAGCGGCCATGTTTGCTCAAGGCTCCTTCCTCACATAGGCCTTAGTCAGTAGGACTGAATGTGGACAGGGACAGAGTGGCTTGGCAGCATCCCTAGGCTTGGGGACCTTGGCAATCTAGGGTCCTGAGGGCATGGCACTTATAGTGGCTAATAGAGAAGCTTCTGGAAGAGAAGGAGCACATAGCAGATGCCTCCAGATGGCCAGAGCAGGACAAAACCCTGAGACCCCCATCTGCAGACCCACCCTCAGCACAATGTCCAGAGTTACACTGTCCCCTTGCATTGCCCACCTGCCAACTTGTGCCCTTGAACCAGCACAAGTGGACGCCTGTTATTTGAAATCATAAGAATTGTGACTAAAATTGACATGGAGGGAACTGACACCATGTTTTCTTCTAGTGTATGACAAATGCACAATTTGAGCAATTTCCAAAACTTTTATTTATGTTGTTTTTAAAAGCCACTGACATGCAACAGTTGTCCATCAAAACATCAGGGAAAAAATAATCAGAAGTAAGTGTTTATACAACACTTTGCCTTTTGTGTCGTGATATGCTTTGGTGCAGGAAACAAAGTTTGTTTTTGGGGCTGGATTTTCAAATGGAAATTATAGGAGTTGTGAAGGCTGGAATGAAGGCTTGAGAACAAGTCTATTTCTGAGTGTTGGAAATTTGATTTCAGAGACAGAAAGGAAGAAACACCAGGCCTGGAGCACAGGTACCACGGATCATCAATGAACAGCAGTGGCACGGTTTGGTAGTAACTGTATTCCTTGCTCACTTGGTCCCAAGCCAGTCACTTCTAGATATGGTTCAGAATGGAACCAGCTCAGCCTTAAGGATAGGGCTGTCATCATTCAAAACCAAGGGGGCACCTGGGTTGGCCATTCAGAGATGGAAAGGGCTATCAGGACTAAGAAATGCCTCCAGATTTCAGGTGAAAGGGGAAATAGGACCTTTAAAATGTGGGCTTTCCTACCCTGTTGGACCCTGAACCACTGAGATTTGCCATAGATTTTTTGTTAAGTAAACAAATGAATAGTTAACAATGTGGGGGACATACTTGTGGCAAACCCAGTTTTGATCATGGGTTGGTTTGCCATTCTGTATTTAATTTGGGAGTTGGTGGTGGAAAATCATCAGGTAGAAAGCCTGGTGGTTCACACGCCTTAGTCAGGGATCCTGCAGTGACTCAGTCCTGCTGCTGAGAAATAAATAATATGCCGGCTTCATAACTTACTGTCTAAGAGTTTCTCAGTGTTTGTGACTTCACGACTGACAAAGAATACTGGGCCTCTTTTGATTACTTTTTTTCCTATAAAGACTCGAATATATCAGTTATGAGAAAAACTATCTCAAAGTAAGAGGAAATTCAACAGTGGGAAAGAATCACATGCCTAGATGAGCAGAAATCCTAACTAAAACCAAATTTTCCTTTTGGAAATAAACATACAATACATTTGTCCCTCAGTCTACAGGGTTTGATTCTAGAACTGCCCCTTTGGATACCAAAGTCTGGGCATGCTCAATCCCCTATATAAAGGTTGTGGGGTTGGAGGAGTAACTCAGTGGTAACACACATGCTTAGCAGGTAAGTGAGGCCTGGATTCAATTCCTACTGCAACCCGCACAGGCACAGGATTTACACACAAACTATGTTAAATCATCTTGCAATTACTTATGGTACCTAATACAATGTAAATAGCTGTCATACTGTCTAAACTGTTTAAATGCATATGTTTGCATTAAATTGCTTAGGAAATAATGACAAGAAAACAGATTTGTTTTCTGGTGCTGGGGATCAAACTCAGGCCCTTCATATGCCAAGTTCAGGCTCCACCACCACTATGTCCTCAGGCTTGAGACACATGTTCAGTACAGACACAAGTAATTTTTTCTGGATGTTTTCCTTTCTTTCTCTTTCCATACTGGATATTGAACCCAGGGCCTCATGCTTGCACGCTTGCTGGGCAAGTGTTCTATCACTTTTGTTTGTATTTTTTTTTTTTTTGGAGGGGGCAATCCCAGGGTTTCACGCTTACTAGGCAGGTGCTCGACCACTTGAGCCACTCTGCCAGTCCTGTTTCATGTTGGGTGTTTTTGAGATAGGGTCTCATGAACTATTTGTTCAGGATGGCTTTGAACCACGATCCTCATGATCTCTGCCTCCTGAGTAGCTAGGATTACAGGAATGAGTCATGGGCGCCCAGCCTGTATATTGTTTTTGATATAGGGGCTCACTAACTTTGCCTGGGCTGACCTTAAACTCTAGACCCTCCCGCCTCTGTTTCCCAAGTAGCTGGAATTAAGGCATGCTCCACCACACCCAGCTTTTCTGAATATTTTTAGTCTATGGTTAGTTGAATTCATGGATGCACAACAGATACATAAGGCTAACTCTAGTTTATAATGCCTATTTACTTTGGGTCTATAACTCATTATGAAAACCCAGGGAAGTTATCTTTCATTTCCACCTTCACTCCTTACATGAGTTAACAAAGGTAAAGACCTAGGTAACCTGTACAAAGTGCCTGGGATAGGGTCTGGCTCACAGCAAATGCTACCCAAGTAGAGCAATGGTCATCATTATATTGTCACCATTCTGAATCTCAAAGTATGACAAAATGCTAGCAAGGCTTACTGACAACACATTCTGGAAATGTGTCAGGGAGTATATTCCTGCTTTAGGGGCGGAATTATAATAAGTGTTTGCATAGTGATTAAAAAGATACCTGACATATATTTTAGTAGACATTTATCAATTTTCTCTAAAAATACTCTTAAATGGTAACTCAGATACAGTTTTTTAATGTTTCATGTTTTAAAGCTGGGCACATCCCAAATAGCTGTAGTCCCAGCTATTTGGTAGTCCCAGCTATTTGGGATGCTGAGTCAGGAGAATCACTTGAGTCCATGGGTTTGAGATCTGACTGGGCAACATAGAGAGACCCCTTCACACACACACAAATCCTCTTTTAAAGAATGTAATTTAGGGTTGATGGAGTGGTTCAAGTGGTAGAGCGCCTATCTAGCAAGGATGAGGCCCTGAGTTCAAACCCCAGTATTGTCAAACATAAAAAACTACTTTATCCATACTATTTTGATATCAAGTATGTAAATAAGGATGTACCCATATCCACACCTCCAAATATTTACTTTAATTCTGATTTTGAAAGTTGTCAGAGAACAATGAAACCTGTTGAAGTTATTTTAAGAAGGGGACTAGAGTTGAGCACCATTGGTTCATGCCTGTAATCCTAACTACTCAAGAGGCGGCGATCAGAAGGATCAGGATTTGAAGTCAGCCTAGGCAAATACTTTGTGAGACCCTATCTCAAAAATACCCAACACAAAAAAAGGGCTGGCAGAGTGGTCCAAGTGGCAGAGTGCCTGCCTAGCAAGCATGAAGCCCTGAGTTCAAACCCCTACCATCCCCCCCAAAACAAAAACAAAAATCAAGGAGGGGTATACGGTAGGAGGGAGAATAATGGAGGGGATGAACCAAACGAGGGTAAAATACATGTACATATGGAAATGTCACAACAAAACCCTGTATAACTATCATATACTAATAAAAATGTTTAAAAATCATGTCTTTACTTGCTGGCAGAGAAATTAATTTAAAAGAGAATTCTAGAGGTGCTCCTGTGCTTGTAGTGTCTCTGTGCCGTTGGGGTGCAGAGCACAAGAGGTGGGGCCACTTTCCTGCATGAAGTGGTCTAGTCACGAGGTGTGTGCCGTGGGCCAGCTGCATATTTCTCATTTACTGAGCCCTCGTTCTCACCAAGAAAAGGTCCATATCCTCAAGGACTTAGAAATCAAAGAGCACTTTCAAGTAACGAAATCAGATTTGTAGTGTGATACTTGATTATAACTTCCCTTACATATAAAACAAGACATATTGGACTTTTCTAGGACTGGCAGAATGGCTCAAGTGGTAGAGTGCTTGCCTAGCAAGTGTGAGGCCCTGAGTTCAATCCCCAGTACTGCCAAAAAAAAAAAAAAAAAGTAAGCAAATGGACTTTTCCAGTTAGGAAAGTAATAGCACATTTTTGGGATGACAGTTTTTCCTTTTCTGGTTGTGAGGTGCAGAGTTAGACAGGCAATTACAGTGTATTTTTTTCATTATTAAGATTTTTTTTCCCTTGGGCAGTACTGGAGTTTGAACTCTGGGCCTCTGCTCACTAGGCAGGCACTCTGCCATGTGAGCCACACTCCCAGCCCTTCTTTGGTTTTATTTTTTGGATAGGGTCTCACATTTTTGCCCAGAGCTGGCCTTGGGCTATGGTCCTGCTACTTATACTTTCCTTGTAGCTGAAATCACGGGAGTGTACCACCACTCCTAGCTTGAGATAGTGTCTCATTTACTGTTTGCCCAGGCTGGATTCGATCATTGATCTTCCCTATCCCCACCTCCCAAGTAGCTGAGGAGTTATCAAAAGACTTTAATAACCCCCAAGTATTCTGTAAGAGTTCAAAACTGTACAAGTGGCAAATGTATTAAGCATATGACTCAGTTATAATCTCAAAGAGCAGAGACACTCAATCAGGAAAGAACAATCAGATAAAAGCTTCTGTCGTGTGACAGTAACAAAGGTGACTGGTTAAAAAGGGCTTCAGATTTACAGGCACCAAAGCAAAACTCTCGCATCTTCCTCTCTTAAATGTGTCCAGTTCTTACTTCTTCCTGCTGAGGGGCCACACTGAGGAACCTGAGTGAGAGATACTGCATTAGGAAGAGAACTCAGGACAACTCAGAAGGCATCAGACCCAGGTTCCTGCCCCAGCTCCACCAGTTCCAAGCTTTGTGATACTGGATGAATCACTCAACATCTCTGAGTTTCAGTTTCCTCAACTGAAAACTGAGACTGCCGTCTTTCTCACATTGTTCTTACA